AGAAAAAAGGTAGTGTAATAGAATTCTATATTAATATTACTTTACCGCCTTTCTACCATGCTACGCTTGAAGTTTAATAAAGACAAATGGCAAAAGACCGCCTTGGCTTAACCACGAGATCTTGCATGATCTAAAAATAAAAAGGAGTCATATAAAAAATGGAAAGTAGGACAAATTACAAAGGATAAATACAGGCAAACAACACAGGAATGCAGGGCAAGATCAGAAAGGCAAAGGCACAAAATGAGCTTAAACTAGCTACGGGAATAAAGGAAAACAAGGGGTATGTCTACACTACCCCGCTAGTTCGAACTAGCGGGGTAGTGTAGACATACCCTCATTTACCCATAAATGTCCTCTAATAGCCCAATAAGGAGGGGAAGTGTTAGTAATGCTGCTAGAAAATATCGACCTAATATAGTCTGGCATAGTCTCTGGTTCGAAACCAGTCAGGTCCCGAGGGTGCCAGACTATAGAGGTTCAACCTCTAACAGCATGCATTGGCTATGAATCTCCACCACTTTGCATCTTGGATAATCATTTACATTTGCACCAAAGACTATACCAGATGCCAGATGGGGAAAAAAATTAAACCTAAAACTTTTTAGGAGAATAACATTTGTAGTGATATACTAGCAATACTCTATTACTAAGGGTTATAGTTATTTAATCATTATCCAGAAACTTCCTATATTTCTACATTTTTTAAAATGAATTTAGTGATTGTGAAAAATGACACTTACTTCACAGGCAAGTCGTATTTTCAGTGTATTAAACTAAACAGACAGCGAGGCAAGTTAGAACTGGTGCACAGGAAACATATAAGCCACCCAGTTCCTTCTTTTTTTAGTTTTAATCATTATAGTGGAAGTTGGTAGAAAAGTACAGTCATTTTTGCTCTTTCATATTAAAAAAAAACTTTTATAGAGCTCCTCTCTGATTGACTTTGTTTAATAATAACTTTTTATTTATTTGATTTTTAAAAGCTGAAATAGTATTGGGGCTTAAGTCATCAAGGTAGAAAACAAGATATTCAATCATCCAAACAAAAATCAAACCAGAACAAACTCGAATAATCCTATTAAGGAGCATCAAGATAGCTAAAATAGCAAAATGAGGTTTCACACCTTGCTTCCGGACAGCAGAGTACATCTTCTCATTATCACTGTGAATTCTGGTAGCCTTTTGCTGAAACACTGCAACAAAAATTCAAGGTGTTAGGAAGTTGATTACAACTCTAAAGGAGACAGCCCAATGCCTGTCATTAGAACTTCAAGGTCCTGAACAATAAATTTTGGATTATTGAAAGCAAGCTCAAAGAGAAAAATCTCTCACTCTCAATTTATACTAGAGGCATTTCTGGAATTTGTTCATGTGACAGAAGACTGTACAAAAAGGGGTACTATGGAAAAGAAATTGGAGACCAAAAAGATGTAGTTGGAAGATTCAGTGACAAAACAGAACCAACACCAACTAGTTGAAGTGCAAAGAATGAACTCTTTTGCAAGCATAAGAAGATACAGGAACAAATTCAGATATTTATGAAAGAGAAGACTAAAAAGGTGTTACAATATGCAGAGACTCACTGCACGTGAAGAGCAAAATACACAGCGGGGTGGGAACTTCTTTTGGAGAATATCTGGATGTGCTTTGCCAGTAACAGAGAAAAGACAGTACAAGGAAGAAACACGTATTCTTCCTTTCCATTCAGGGCATATCTACACAGCAGGGCAAAAGTCAAATTACGATACATAACTTCAGATGTCAATTGTGTAGCTGAAGTCAAAATAGCTTAATTTGGCTTTTGGCACTGACTACACAGCAGGAAGTAGAAGGAAAAATACTCTGTGACTTTCCTTACTCCTCATGAAATGAGGGTTACAGGAGTTGGAGTAAGAAGTCCTTCATCTCGAAATTATTTTGAAATAACGGCTTGCTGTGTAAACACACACTATGTTATTTTGAAATCATGTCAATTATTCCGAAATAATACTGCTGGATAGCTGTACCCTTAGAGAAACCAGAAAAAGAGAACAAGCTACTTCTTGACACTGGAAAAAGTTGCACAAAATCATAAATAGAACCGGAAGCCTGTTTATAATGAAATGATTCCAAATCAGAGCAGCCTAAAGCTTTTGAAAAGCAGGCCTCCTGAATACAAATGGGCATGGAATCTTTTAATTGTGACCTGAGTAAGGAGCAAATAACCAATGAAGAATGTCCACAGATGTAACAGTGCTTGTTATAACCAAACAAAAACAAAAAAACTCAACAAATCTACCTATCTGTTCCTTTTCTAGAAGGAAGATAGTCTTTTTAAAAGCACTGAAAAGGGAAATAATTATTTGTCTTCTTTTAAGGTTGCTGTAATGTTGCAACCCAAGAACCTTAGCATGAACATTATTTAATCTGCCACAACTACTATTAAGAGTGTGCAAGCTGTTAGCTACTGCAGCTTTCCTAATAAGAATTTTAAAACTGAACCTCTGTGTGTATTTGGATTTCAGTTGCATTAGATAACACAGCCACTGACTACAAAAATACTCAGATCTTTCCTATGATACTCTAGGGAGAAGAAAAACTTTTGTGCATGTTTATATTCAATCATTTTTTGTAGTTATGTCAACCAATTTGTCATTTTATTAGTAATTTGCAAAGTTGCTCTGTTGCATAGAGACACATGGTTTTACCAGCCACAGAGTGCCAATATACAGTATTATGGTGAATGATATTTTAGAAAATATTATTAACAACAACAATCACAATCACAATAGTGACATATAATTTGTATTACAGTGTTTACAACTAATTACTAAATATCCTGGGCCTGCTTTTGAGCTCAGTTACACTGATACTGAGTTCCTTTGATGCAAATGGAATTATTCCACAGAAGTCAAATGGTGTTAATATTGTAAAATCAGAATTTGGACCAAAAAATGAAAAGTATAGAGCAGCATTTAAAACTAGTCTGAAACCAAGGAACCCCTGAATTTTAAATTCCATCTCTGGCACACATTCCTCTTACTGCAGTCTCAGAGGGGTAGCTGTGTTAGTCTGTAACTTAAAAAACCTTAAACAACAATGGTCCCGTAGCACCTTAGGCTATGTCTAGACTACAGGGTTTTTTGAAAAAAGTGGCCTTTTTTTGGAAAAAAAACCCGTCACCTGTGTCTAGACTGCTGCCGCGTTCTTTTGAAATTAAAGCGAAAGAAAGTGACAATTTTTTCGACAGCAGTAAACCTCATTTTACGGGGAAAAAAGCCTTTTTTCAAAAGAGTTTCTTTTGAAAAAAGGCATTCTTGACCACAAACAGGACTTTTTTGAAAGAGAGTATCCAGATTGCCTGGGTGCTCTCTTTCAAAAAAGCAGAACTCTTTTTCAAAAAAGTTGTAGCTGTCTAGACAATCTCTTCTGAAGGCAGCTTCTTTCAAAAGAAGCATGTAGTCTAGACGTACCCTTAGAGACTAACAAAAATATGAATAGTATATCATGAGCTTTCATCAGCAAACCCACTTCTTGAGATGACAAATATGGAGCAAGGGGCCCAGATTTTGAAATATGAAGCAAAAAAATAGGGGAGAGAGGAAGGAGAGAGAAAGAAAAAAATCCTGTCAATTAAGATGTCAGTTAACTGTCAGTTAAAGCCTCATTTAACACTGACATTTTAATTAACAGGTTTTTTTCCCCTCTCTCTCTCGCCTCATTTCCCCTATTTTTCTGCTTTATATTTAAAAATCTGGGCCCCTTGCTCCATTGGTTTCATTCAAAGAAGTGTGTTGTACCCACAAAAACTCATGATACTATTTATATTTTTGTTAGTCTCGGTGGGTATGTCTACACTACAGCGCTAATTCGAACTAACTTAGTTCAAATTAGTTAATTTGAACTAAGCTAATTCGAACTAACGGATCCAGACTAAAAAACTAGTTCGAATTATCGTTTTGCTAATTCGAACTAGCATGTCCACATTAAGTGGACCTGAACCGGGGTTAAGGATGGCCAGAAGCAGTGCTGGCAGGGCATCAGAGGAGGACTTAGAGCGTGGAGATGCTGTCTCAGGCTAGCCGAGGGCTGTGATTAAAGGGTCCCGACCCCCACCCCAGACAGATAGTTCTCAGGGGTGCCCCGCTTGCAAAGCAGTCCTGGCTTGGATTGCCCTGAATGCCCACACTCGGCACATCACAGCACTCGGCCATCATCCCGGCTGCACTTGCCGCAGGCTGCCATCTGGGGAGAGGGGGCAATTGGGGGGCTGCAGGAGAGCTTCCACCCCCAGAAGCCCGCAGAGCCAGCCCAGTCCTCCCCATCGGGGGCTCGTGACCCATTCCTCCCTCACCTCCTTCCACTTACCCTTCCCTAGCCCCTCTTCTTGATGTACAAAATAAAGATAACGTGTCTTCCAAAATGGAATCTGTCTTTATTGAACAAAACTGGGGGAGACTGGGAAAAGGAGGTGGGAGAGGGGAAGAGAGAGGCTGGGAGAGGGGAGGGCAACTAAAATGATCAGGGTTTGGGAACAGGTCCCATATGAAGAGAGGCTAAAGAGACTGGGACTTATCAGCTTAGAAAAGAGGAGACGGAGGGGGGACAGGATAGAGGTCTCTAAAAGCAGGAGTTGGGTGGAGAGGGTGCATACAGAAAAGTTCTTCATTAGTTCCCATAAAGAAGGACTAGAGGACACCAAAGGAAAGGAATGGGTAGCAGGCTTCAAACTAGTAACAGAAAGTTGTTCTTCACAAAGCAAAGAGTCAACCTGTGGAACTCCTTGCTGCAGGAGGCTGTGAAGGCTACAACTAGAACAGAGTTTAAAGAGAAGTGAGATAAAGTCATGGAGGTTGGGTCCATG